CTTCACAGAGCCGTAGTTCACTGAGAAGCTATGCAAACAGCTGTCATTATCGCGAACGATCTCTTCGATTTCACAATCGCGCAATAAAATCGTCTGCGATTTTTTTGCGTAACTTGTCAGTGAACTACGGCTCCGTGTAGTACATGCTGCTCCATCTGAAAGCACGTGATGATGATTTACTGCTGATTACAGAACCGGCATTACTAACAAAATGCGCATGACAATCGCATTCGATTAATCGTGCAGCCCTAACATGCAGCAACTAAATTCAGTCAATTCACAATTTGGTTATTTACAGGAGTAAAAGCAGCAGCTTAATACGCATAAAACACAGAACTCTGTTCAGCTGAAGTTTATTAACAATTAAACATTTCTGGTAGCATTGGTCAAAGTATCTAAAACTAAAAAACTGCTGGCATTCATTCATGTTTATTCTATACAGGCACGTGACGGCAAAACATTGCAATGGTTATCACCATGTAAACCATCACAAGTTTGGGAGTCACTCCCAAAACTTTGAAGCGAGTACATGATCACAATAGTACAAAGTTGGGCCAATGAGTTTAGTGTAGGTATTAAACCTTTTAATGCCGAACAATTTCCAAACAAGTTTAAGCTCTATTAGATGAAATACTAAATGACTCTATTTGTTCAGATGCAAGACACAATACATCTTTAAAGGTTTATATATAAACCTGATAAACCCCCAAAATCATGTGAAATCTGATCTAAATGCTGTTTTCATAACTAACATACAAGGATAAAAAGCAGCTGGTGCCGAGGTAACGGGCACAGACATCAATTATTTGTGTTGGTTTGGCAGGAAATGATGCAAGTCCAATGTATTAATGGGACATCTGCCTGCTGTTTGAGCAGAGACACTGATTGGCGTCACAGCTCGCCGCCAGCCTTTTGTCAATAAATGGGCAGAGACTTTTTTTTTATTTTAAGAACTATTTATTTTACAATACCTATCAGCTGAGACTTTAGCACTTCGGTTCATTGAAATATAGGAGAAATGTGTTATGTGCAAGCCGCGTTGAGCAACAATACAAACAATTAATTACATGACCTCCAGTATTGATGTACCGAGTTACCAGATCAAACATTTCATTTCTATTTGAGACTGACTGCACTGTTTTTGTCTTGCTGCTGCCTATTTCTGAAACGCAAAAAAGACAGAAAGACTTATCTGGCTTAGAAATGAGTTGCTATTAAAAAACCTCCCTTTGGAAATGGATGGACATGCTGACAGCACTAAATGTAACAATGTTTACGAGATCTAAAGGTGCAGTGCCTGCTTTCTGCTATTGTGAAGAGTGGCAGAAAGCTGCACTTACCCTTCGCATGGCTTCCTCTTCCTCCTGCCGCTTTTCGTAATGTGTAAAATCGTCAAAGATTGAGGTGGTATGCTTGAAAGTCGCAATAATTTTAAGCACTTGCTTTGCCTTCTCTAGGGGCACTTCCTGAGTGTCCCTGGAGTTGGTGACAGGCTTGTTGTCATTGTTTTCTAAGCGAATGTGCCGCAGTTGGTTATTGGGCACGTCCTTAACAAAGATCCATTTCACCTCAAACTTGCCCTTCCACTTATCCTGGGACCAGACGCCAGCATAGGCGTTATAGTCCACGGTTGACTTCATCTCGGCCACACCGCAAAAATGTCCACTGCCATTGACGCTAAAGAGCAGGTACAGTGGACCTTTGGCACTGAGCGAGCGGTAGGCGCCATCCAGGCGCTTGTTCCCGTGCTCTGTGCTGCACCAGATGGAGTACTTGATGGAACGGTGGATGTCATCCTCTGAGTAGCTCTTGATGATGAAGACCCGTCCATTTTTCAAGTTCCAGTCAAAGTCTTTGGGGTTGTAATTGTTGAGGGCCTTGAGCTTCTCCAGCACGGGGTGAACCTCACTGGAAGAAGGCGATGAGCTCATGGGGACTCCCGTCCCAAGGCCAAAGTTCTCCATGCTGCTGTTCTGGATAAATGTGGTTCCTCGGTTCCGAGGAGCCACCCAGCGGTTTTGGGTTGGGGGGTTCTGCACCTGAGGTGGGTGCAAGTGCTGCAGAGGACCTGGTTGCGAGTGATGGTGAGGGTGGGGGGGACCTGAGGGCAGCTGCTGAGGGTGCTGGGGAGATTGTAGCTGGAGCTGCTGGTGTTGGGGATGAGGAGGCAATGGACTTTGCAGCATGGGCTGAGGTTGGGCCAGGAGTTGCTGCTGCAACAAGGGCTGAGGCGGGAGCATCTGCTGCGCAAGAGGGGGTTTGGTGATGGAGCCTTTGTCCTCCCAGGTCCCAATGTTCATGTTATGCTTTATCGGTGGAGGAGGAATCGTGGCACCGCTTCCCAAACCCATGTTGGGCTTCAGCTTCAGCTTGGGCTGAGGTTTCGCCGGTTTCCTCGCGATAGCAGCCCACGAGGTGGGCTTTGGTGCAGAGGAGCTGACAGGTGGCATGCTGTTGGCTGCCATACTACTCATACCCGCCGTGCCACCTAAAGGAGACCCGACCGTTTTCGTAACGGCTGACATATCGGAGCCGAGCTTGAGCCCGGCCATTCCCTGATCGATACTACTGAGCCCTGGAACTTTACTAACTTGCGTGTCACTGCCGAATCCGGCCTGTCCGTCAGCAATGGCCCGGCCCAATGAGCTCGGGGGATATCCATAACTGCTGCTGTATGCGGAGCTCTGTGTAGACTGTCCCTGAGAACCACTGGTGCCCCAGGTGGAAAAGTCTGCATTTCCAGGAAAGAAGTTAAATCCGTGTTGGCTGAGAAAAGGGGGCGTGTTGCCTAAAGCACCAGGCTGGCTGAAGACTCCATCGGGAATGAAGTGATGCTCACCATTGCTCATCTGTCCATACGTGGTCAGGTACGGCATAGGCGGGTCTCCTGCGGTGGACCAAGCAGCCTCTCCCAAGGAGTAAGGGAATCCGATAGAGGGAGCATAATAGCTGGGCATGTAGGGATCAGACATTGGTGGGTAACTATTACTCTGTAGGGGGTAATTAAAGATAAGTCAGTAATGATGATGTAACAAACCAAAGGCTAAATAAAGATGTGAGACAAAAACATAATCGCTGAAAAAAAGTGTGATAAACACACTACCGTACCAAGACATTTATAATGTTACAATGGATTTCTATTTTCAATTAATGCTGTTCTTTTAAACTTTCTATTGATCAAAGGATCTTGAAATAGATAAGTATAAGGACAAAAACTCACCTGATTTGTCTGGCTGCTCAGGTAATTGTCAAAGTCATCATCATTTACAGCATCCTTCTGATGCATCGAACCGTTTTGCACTAAGCAAAATTATACCAAAGACAGACAGACAGTGTATCAGTTACTTTTACTTAGTTCAATCAAAATGATGTTGATAAAAAATAATGAGACACAGCAAAAGTAAATTACACTTGGAAATTATTATGTCAAAGCAAGTTTCTGCTACATATTAAAAACATTTTTTTTCAATTGCTTCATCGGTCAATGTCAGGACTATGAAGTAACATAGAGAGCTAAATTAACATCAAGACAGATCTACTACATAAAATATGATTCACAGAAGGAGTGACTATTTATAAATGCACACAAGTAAGACAGTGAGAAACACAGCAGTAAACCGAACCCCCTTAAAGAGACAGCTCACAAAAAATGAAATTTCTCATCCACATGTTGTCCATTTGATTTTCTTTGTCTGAATGGCTGAATGGTGAGGCTCAGTCACCATTCATTTTTATGGCATGGAAAAAGATGTAATGGAAGTGAATGTTGACTGAAGGTGTTAAGTCCCTAACATTGTGTTCCATAGAAGAAACAGTTAAACAGGTTTATAGCAACATGAGGGCGAGTAAATCCCTTTTAAATGTGTTTTCATAACATACCTTTATTTCCTTGTCCTTTAGGTCTCTGGTTTTGGATTCAAAGTATGCAGACAGTGACAAAGACAAAAAAAACCACGATGAATATCAGTTTATCATTAACAGGACATGGACACAATAATTCGGCCTAGCAATAACAGCTATCAAATAACCAGGACTCCCAGTTTGTGGAGAAGCGACTTGACATAATTGACGTTAGCTGTGTTTTACAACCTAATGAAGTACCTTACTGTCCGTTAGTTTGTTTTAAAACGTTTATTCCTTCCAAGGGCGCCAATAATGATGTCTAGGTAGGCAGCTCACTAGGCTTTAAGACACAGCCTCTACATGCACCATCATGTTTTTAGTTATATTGATGGAAGCGCGTCCGTCTCACGAACCTGATCGACAGTTGTCGCAGACATCCTCTGGGAGCCCGAGCTGATCGCTGTTATGACTCTCCACGGTCTCTCCTGCCACCGCTGCGGGTTCACGTTATTTTTTCCTCTCGCCGGGATTGCCCTATAATCAAAGCGTATTTCTCAGGCGTTGATCTCCTCGCCCGGTTTCAAACGGTCGGCAGCGGTCCTCTCGAGCGATATTGACAGCGAACGTCAAACTGCTGGGGGAGGTTGGCTGCTGTGTGATATCCGAAACATTAACACTCTGTGTAACGTCTGGAGAAAATATCACCCCTGCTCTGCTCCACAATGGCGGATGGGCTCTGACTCTCACTTCCGCTTGAGCGCTGACCTTCCGCCGCTGACTCAAAAGAGGAGACATGCGCCTTCTTTTTCATACAGTGCAAAATAAATCTTGCAATTACTATCTTGTAAACAGAGTTCATTTTGATGTTGATCTATTCTGTACATTTTGTGGTTTACAACGTGGTTTCTTTCGGCTTGTTTTTGGTTAGATTTCTGTACATTAATTAAGGATCACGTCATGCCCAGCTTTTAACCGTTTCGAAAATGTTTCATTCGGGTATTTCCCTTATGACATGGACATGTCTTATCATAAAGGATAATATTTAAATATGCTTCTTCTGTTAGCTAAATTTAGCATACATAGTATGTAAACGAGCCTTTGTTTTCAGTTTAAAGGCAAAGTTCAACAATACCATGAAGCAATATTAAGTTTGAAAAACTATTTAACTTTTTTGTTTACTTTCATCTTTTGATTTTTGAATAATAAAATCTGTACACGGAGAAACAAAAAATTCATAGGCTAAATAAATAAATACATTAAAAAAAAGATGCAGGCAAAATGTGTTTGGACGTGATATAATGATATATTTCCATGACCATGGGATAGAAAAACGAAAAATCATATATTTTCAAATATTAATATTATTTAGAAGTAGTAACAAATACATAAAAATCTTCATTTCATATGTGACATTATATATTGATAAGTATATCACAATAACATAACCTATTCATTTGTAATTTAACAGTCATACTTTGGAAAAAATATAAATATTTAGTTATTTCATACATACTGTTTTATTATTTTACATTATTTTAATAATTAAATCATATGACAAACATTTTACAAAATAATTAAGAAATCATGTCTATATATTTTTAAAATGAGAAATAAAATATCCATGAAAAGACAACATTCTGCTATAACTGCTCTTCACCGCTTGGTAGCACTGTTATATTTTTTACGAAAATAACATGACCGAAAATGACGTTCTTTACAAGTCATCAAAATAAAAGTCCTGTTACTGCTTATAATTCCTAGAACCATCAGAAATGTTATAACTTGCTTTGCAAACCTCAAGAAGATCGAGTTATAAATAATGTTATAAATAATTTCCCATAAGGAATTAAAAATATCAAAATGTAAATCAGTCAGTCATTCTGTCAGACTGTTCCCTGAGTTGCTTTTCTACTCATTCATTCATTCATTCATTCATTCATTCATTTTTAATTTATTTATTTATTTATTTTACAAAATACAAATACAAATGCTTTGGAGCATGCAGAACATGCTGACAGTGATTGCAAACGCACTTAAGGGTAGTGCCAAAATAAATGTAGGTATCATAATGTATATCTGTTTGCTGTTAATGAGACAGAGCGTTGAAAGATTCAAGCTCTGTTTAGCTTAGAGGCATTAAAAGATTTACCAAGGCTAAACTAGATCTCTGTAGTCTCATCGACCTTGTAGATGGTGTACCGTAAATGCAGTTATGCTTACTGTAAATTAAATAGCCACTGAACTGATCGGATTTGATTAAATTGCAGTCTGCCCTGATTCGGTCACTCTGTTGTGTGTTAAATTATCATAATAGGTTGTTTTTAGCTTTCCACCATCTGTGGCACTGTCCAAGCGCAGTTGAGAGTTGCCATAATAATTTGTTTGGCCTGACACGGATGTCATCATGGACCATATTGTGGTCTTTTTCAGATATGCAGTCTTTCTGCTATTTATATGTTTATCATTTTTTTCATTTACAATATGTGCTTCAATAAAATACAGAGTTTTAAATACAGCGTGGTATAGCCCCGTTTTATAGGGTGCCCAAACAGTGTCAGAGGTAAGATATTAGGGTTTAAGAATTAGTTAGTTAGTTAATAATATTTTTTCATGTTTATTTATTTATTTTATTCATTCATTTATTTATTTACTCATTCATTTAAATTTTTTGCCTATGGCTTATTTAAAAAATTACGAATACAATTTTTAAAGAATGTAACTGACCTATCTTAGTTATAATTTGACCAACCAAATGCACTACTGTTCAAACGTTTTGGGTCTGTAAGATTTTCAAAAAATGTTTTAATGTCTCTGCTGCAAGGCTGCTTTTGTTTGTTTAAAAATACAGTAATATTGAGAATTATTATTACAATTTAAAATAACGATTTCTCTATTTTAATGTATTTTAAAATGTAATGTACTCCTGTGAAGGCAAAGCAGAATTTTCAGCAGCCATTACTCCAGTCTTAAGAGTCACATGATCCTTCAGAAATCATTTTAATATGCTGATTTGGTGTTCAAGAAACATTTCTTATTATCATTGCTGAAAAGATTTGTGCTTTATTTATATAGTATATATTAATTTCTTTCAAAAAAATTAAACGGTAGTGTGTTTAGGTACATTAGTGTCATGTTTCACTGTGAGTCGACATAATGGCCTTCAACATTTAGTCAATTCTTGTCAAGTTAAATGCATTTTGTCAGTATCTCTGTTTTAAAATGATTTTTCTTAGTTTTATTAATGCACTCCACTCCTCTCCAGGACTCCAGAGTGGTGGTATCAGCACGTTCTTTTGCTGATTTGACACCTCAGGCCAGCTTTGACATCAAGGTAAAGTTGTCATATTAGCTTAAAAACATGCACAAACAACTTAGGTCATTCAAGAACTTGTTCAATTCCAGAGATGTGACCTTCATCGCTTGGATGAAGGCCCTTCAGTGCAGACAGTGCTCACCAGAGAGGATGGACTCAGGTACTACCGCACTATGCAGACCATGAGACGCATGGAGCTGAGGGCAGATCAGCACTACAAGCAGAAGATCATACGAGGATTCTTTCATCTTTATGATGGGCAGGTAAGACTAAATTGAATGCCTTGTTTGCACACAGTCACTGTGATATGATTTAACTTCTCACCACCTCTCAGGAGGCCTGTGCTGTAGGCATTGAGGCTGGTATCAGTCCCACGGATCACCTGATCACAGCATATAGGGCTCATGGTTACACCTACACCAGAGGTGTGTCTGTAAAAGAGATCATGGCAGAGCTCACAGGTGAGGACTTTCTACACCACATTTCTGCTGAATCTACAGCCTCATTAATTATTATTTTACAATGCTGATAATAAGACATGTTTCTTAAGTACCAATTGAAATGATTTCTGAAGGATCAAGTGACACTGAAGACTGGAGTATATAGCTGAAAATTCAGCTTTGCCATCACAGGAATAAATCACATCTAATAATATATTAAAACAGAAATATTTATTTTAAATTGTAATATTATTTCACAATATTACTGTATTTACTCTATTTTTGATCAAATAAACACAGCTTTGGTGAGCTTAAGAGGCTTATTTCAAGTACATTAAAAAAAGCATTTTTAAAAAATGCATTAAAAAAAATTTAATCCAAACCTTTGAACGACAGTGTTTATATATAGCAGTATATAAATAGCAACTGAACTGTATAGTTTGGGTCCTGTTGTTGATTTACAAGAATAGCTGAGAGAGAACTTCTTATATGCAAAATGGACTGTAACTAAAAAATACCAGATGAATCTGAATCAAATCAAATCAAGAGCTTGTACTAGGAATCAAATCAAGAAATGTGTATCAAAACCCAGCCCTAATTTGAACAAGTTTACAATCCATTTCAGGTCGAAGGGGTGGTGTTGCCAAAGGCAAGGGCGGCTTTATGCACATGTATGCCAAGAATTTCTATGGCGGGAATGGTATTGTTGGTGCCCAGGTGAGATGCAAGCATCATAGCTTACAAGAATATTACAACAGGCATTTCTAAATCTAAATTTCACTGTTTTGAAGGTTCCTCTTGGGGCAGGTGTGGCCCTGGCATTGCCAGTATCAGGGTAAGAATGAGGTTTGTGTCACTCTGTATGGGGATGGAGCTGCTAATCAGGTGAGAGCAACTTTTCATCCATGTGTTCACAGGTTTGCGTGCGATCTGCTGTTGCAAAATAATGTCTTATCTGATTAATCCCTTTATCAGGGCCAGATCTTTGAGTCGTTTAACATGGCAGCTTTGTGGAAACTCCCCTGTATTTTCATCTGTGAGAATAATAAATATGGCATGGGGACATCAGTGGAACAGGCCTCAGCAAGCACAGATTATTACAAGAGAGGAGACTACATTCCTGGTCTGAGGGTTTCTGTCTTTTTATTTTTTGTTTTAGTTTTTCTAGTTGCCTCTTCCTCGTTTTCTGTTCACCAGTGCATGCAAATTTATACAGACATACATAAAAGCCACATGTGAGCAAATAAGTCAAGCCTGTCTGTTTTCTCCAGGTGGATGGCATGGATGTTCTCAGCATGAGAGAGGCAACCAGGTTTGCAGCAGATTATTGCAGATCTGGAAAGGTAAAAGAAAAGTGACATATTTTACTTGCTTAACAAGTCAAGGAGAGGTCATAGATTTAAAGGAATAGTTCACCCAAAAATGAACATTTGCTGAAAATATACTCACCCTCAGGCCATCCAAAATGTAGATGAATTTGTTTTTTCATCGGAACAGATTTGGAGAAATTTAGCATTACATCATTTGCTCACCAATGTATCATCTGAAGTGAATGGGTGCCGTCAGAATGAGCGTCCAAACAGCTGATAAAAACATCAGAATAATCCACAAGAAATCCACACAACTCCAGTCCATCATTTAATGTCTTGTGAAGTGAAAAGCTGCGTGTTTGTAATAAACAAATGCATCATTGAGATGTGTTAACTTTAAACCCTTCCTCCAGTGAAAAAGTCCTCTTACATCAAAATCCACCAACATGTTTGTTTAAAACTGTTTTGGACTGTTTTTGCTTTGTGCTTGATCTGTGCATATTTCTGTCCTGATTCAGATGAGATGATTTTTTTTCACTGGAGAAAGCAAATAATAATCCACAAGTAATCCACACGACTCCAGTCCATCAGTTAACATCTTGTGAAGAGAAAATCTGCTTCTGGCTAAAATACAAATCCTCTATCAGTAATATTGCTTTCTCCAGTGAAAAAAAATCATCTCATCTGAATCAGGACAGAAATATGCACAGATCAAGCACAAAGCAAAAACAGTCCAAAACAGTTTTAAACAAACATGTTGGTGGATTTTGATGTAAGAGGACTTTTTCACTGGAGGAAGGGTTTAAAGTTAACACATCTCAATGATGCATTTGTTTATTACAAACACGCAGCTTTTCACTTCACAAGACATTAAATGATGGACTGGAGTTGTGTGGATTTCTTGTGGATTATTCTGATGTTTTTATCAGCTGTTTGGACTCTCATTCTGACGGCACCCATTCACTGAAGATGATCTATTGGTGAGCAAGAAATGTAAAGCTGAATTTCTCCAAATCTGTTCCGATGAAGAAACAAACTCATTTACATCTTGTAGGGTGAGTAAATTTACAGCAAATTTTCATTTTGGGGGAACCTTTCTTTTAGGCTAGTGTTGGAAACAAACATGATGGGAGATGTTTGGCCTGTGCTCTTCAGGGTCCCATACTAATGGAGCTCCAGACATATCGTTACCACGGCCACTACATGAGCGATCCTGGGGTCAGGTGAGGTTGACCTTCAACCTTCCCCCTGTGGCAGGCGCTCATCCTTCCTTGGTTCATTTAAGACCCTATCCTCATCTGCTAGCCTCCATGATCACAGTCTTTCCTCTTTAGTTTTAGGTAGTTTGCGCATCATTTCAGTGAGCACATAATTCACTGTACTCTCAATCAGTGCCTTTCTCTCCTTAGTTATCGCACACGTGAGGAGATTCAGGAAGTTCGCAGTAAGAGTGACCCCATCACTATGCTGAAGGACTGTATGATTAGTGGAAACATGGCTAGCCTGGAAGAGATCAAGGTACTTTATGCATGCCAGGTACTTGATGAATGCCAGAGGGTTAGTATCACCATGTTATGTTGTTGGAACCATGACAGGACATTGATGCTGAGGTTCGTAAGGAGATAGAAGAAGTAGCACAGTTTGCTACCTCTGATCCAGAACCCCCTCTGGAGGATTTGTGCAAACACATCTTCTACAATGATGCACCCTTAGAAGTCAGAGGCACCCCCACCCTGGATGAGGCTGAAATCCATCAGCTAAAGAACCTGCTGATGATTCAGCACTTCATTCGTCATAATACAGCAGCTCTGTTCCTAAACTTAATACGCACAAAAAGATGGATGAAATTGTTTTATCCATAAAGTCATAATTACATTACATAAGTGCTGTTATTGCCTCTCTAATTAGCAATCATTTTTGCTGACTATTAATATAATAGGAAACACATAGTACAACATACAGCAATAAATATTTAGAGCAATACTGGAAAAATAGATTAAATAAATGAATACAATGAATAAATGAAAAAACATACAAGGTCTCTGAATGAAATGTAGGCCTATTAAAAATTATTTGTAATGATGATACAATTTTCATGACCTGTAGTAGTGTGATGCTGTAATTTCTTGAATTATGAGTTAATTTGTCATTTCAATATAATATCCCAAAGGCTTAATTGATAGAATCTAAACTTATGCAAACATTAGTCAGCACATTTGCCCTTAGAAACTGAATTCTGGATTTCAAATAATACTAAAATGTGTAATATGTGTAAGGATGGAATGAATAAATATGTAATGATTTGGCTTACATTTGTGTCAGTTGTGTTCAGTTTGCTCGCCACCGAACGAATGCAAAATCCTGAGTCACTGAATCACACAAGAGAAATTACCATAGACTCACCAGCAGGTGTCGCACTCTCCACCTGCGTGACTCAAGTGTCACGGCTGACAAAGTACATTTTATACATGCATTCCAATGTCATTTGATGCCACCCCAAAAAATATGATTAGAAATCAGTCTACTTGACACGTACTACGCAGGATTGTTAAATTAATGTGCATAGTAGATTTCATTGTAAGCAAAAGAGATGTACTGTTCATTGGAATGGACTTTAGAAATAACTATTAAATTGATCATAAACTGATTTTCATTTATGGTTGCATTTAGAGAAGAAATCAAGCATTTTGTGTCCATAAAGTCTGAATGGGTAAAGACAGATTTGCTAGCTTCTATACAGTAAAGTATGATATTAATTTAATGTCATTATTATATAAAAACGTGTCAGCTCAGATCACAAGTTGGCCATCAAAAACACTGCGCTCTCACCTGTCCGTCTATCATGAGCTCCATAGCTTCAGCCCGCCCTCTGTTACTGATTGACAAGCATATCAGCCAATCCGACGCGTCATACTGAAAGAAGCGGAAGTGAATAGAGAGCGTGAACATGTTTTTTTCTGTCAAAAGGGGACAGTGGTGAGAGAGAGAGAGACAGAGAGAGAGAGCGAGAGAGAGAGAGAGAGAGAGAGAGAGAGAACACGAACGACTGGCGCGAGATCAGGGGCACGGTCATCATATTTCTATGGAAACGCTGCACTGACTGACAGAGGTGAGAGGAGGAAAAGGTGGCTGCGCTTTCGGATGCGTTACGCACGCAACGGATTCCCGGCTCTCTTCCCCTCAGTGTCAAGAGCGCGGAAACAAACAGGCACAATCTCTTCAAAGTAGCTCAGAATTGTTCTTTTGAATCTGATTTATAAAAGAAGGAACCTCCAAAAAGTCAAGATGCCCCTGGCACAACTAGTTGACCCTTGGCGAAAGATGGCAATCGGGAGTGCGGCGAGCGAGGTGAGTCTCCACCGTATATAAAGGTTTATTATATCACTGATATGTTAATTATAAAAGCATTACTTCTGTTTTTAGAGGCCATTTCTGTGTGTCGTTGTTGTACAACCTGTTCCAGATCTTTATCTGTATATCCGATGTTGGGGATTAGCGGTTATAGAGTAGCCTATGTCCTGTGTTGTGTCTGTGCGTAAATGCTTTTAAAACGATCCGTTTGCCGAAGGCCTTTTACATTTTTTTTTCTTTTTTGACTCGTAGTTACTTTGTAAGTGGCATATGAGTTCACATTGATCACTGTGCTTTGTTAATGGAGACTGAGATTTTAATGAATGAGACTACGTGATGTTCACGGATCTAAGTCTGATTCATACCTGTGCTGTGTTGATGACAGTTGAATGATGAATCGGTCAATCAAAGGGAATTTATGTAAATCAGTTTATTTAACCTGTTTAATATATTAATAATAATAATAAAAGTGTGTATGTGTGTGTGTGTGTGTGTGTGTGTGTGTATATATATATATATATATATAAATAAATGTTCACATGCTTGGAGTTATGAGATCAGGCAGATACAAAATTCTTTTTTTTTTTTTTAGGATCATTCTAGAGAATTCTAAAGATGAATTCTACATAATTCAAATGTGAATATGAATTTCTTTCATAATTTACTCACCCACAATTATTCCAAACATGTTTGACTTTTCTTTTCTCTATGTGGAGCACAAGGAAATGTTAGTGGCTGAGGCTGTTATGCCTATTTTATTTTTATTTTCCATAGAATTTTCATTTTAAGTGAACTGTCCCTTTAAGGGGCAAAATTTTTTCCTCTGAAATAATTTTTATGGGTATTTAAAGATTTTAAGGTATTTTTCTGCCAATTCATGTAAAATGCTTCTATTGAATCAATTAATTGAAACGGTCACTAGAGTGTATGACCCACTAGATAAGCCTAAAATAGAATATTCTACGATATATCAATTGTTAGATAACATGTTTAATATCTGAGGAATTTTAGGCAAAATTTTTGTTCCTGTGGCTGAAAGTACATGATTCCATGGGTTTATTTTACCAAGTTTTAACATTTATTTACTGTAATGACATGAGGCAGATACAAAAGATTTCTTTTGATGTTTCCCGGGAATTCTAAAGAGCAATTCTACATAATTCAAACGTGAAAATGGAAAATGTTTCCATCATTTAGGCCTACTCACCCACAAATTATTTCAAACAAGTTTTACTTTTTTTCCTGTTTGTGGAGCACAAAAGGAGTCTTGCCTAATATCTCCATTTCTTATTCCATAGAATTTTAATTTTAAGTGAACTCTCTTTTCAAGGGGCAACATTTTCCCACTACAATTAATTTTTATGGACATTTTTACTTCTTAAGACGTAACGTGTAAAATGCTTCTATTGAATCAATTGATTGAGAAACAGTCACTTGAGTGTGTAAACCCATTACTAGATATAACTAGAATAGAATAGAATACAATATATCAAATGTTAGATAATACATTGAAAATCTGAGGAATTTTAGACAGAATTTTTTTAAAATTCTAAAAAAAAGTACAGTGGAATTATTTAAACATTGATTTATATAGTCATGAACCCACATCACTTTACCACGACTAAGTCTGGTAAAGTTTGCTAAGTTTGCTCTGTAAGACTGGGTTTGATCAGTTTCATCACTGAAAATTTCCTGAAAATTCAATACCCCTTAATCTGTGACTTTTCCCACACTGATTTGCAAAGGATAACGATTCTGTGAATTCAACAACATACATGCAAATTACTGCAGGCTTATCCAGTAGGTTAGAAAAACTCATATTCAGTCCAGCCTTCTCTGTCATTTACTCTGGAATAGCACGATGTTCAGAAATTACTGCTACAACCCCATTGACCCACATGTAATAAAGTCTGTCATAAAGTTGCCGAAATGGTATTGTGAAAGAGACAGAGAGAAAAGAGAGGCAGGTAACACAGTGTTCCCTTCCAGGCAGCAGATGATCACGGGCCATCCGTCAGTTTCACTCCCGTGTGGTGACAGATCGGCCCGTCTGAGTCGCCACCCTGACTAATTAACACTAAACAGTCAATGACAGCATGTAGGCCCAGTCTAATGAGACGTTCCACCACTGTCATTTGGTGCAGAGGAGCAGACGTTCATACTGGCACGAGCTGTAGTAATCAAGGCTTTGTATCGCACTTCGAAAATGATCCACGCTGCGATTGTTCTGTTCAGTGTAGTCTCAGCCTCAGACGGACAGCCTACAGACCGCCCACAGTCAGTTCGATGACCGTCTGATGATTCATATTTTATACAAAACTGAAAAGCACTTGTGAAATTCACAAGCTCCAATCAGATTGTCTGACAGCAGCACAACATCGGGGAGTGTTGGGAAACCGGGTATTATGAATATTTGCCAAAGTTTGTCAGGTTAGGGATGCATGATGTATCATACTTGTTATCGACTGATTTTACAGATTTTTTCGATTTATCGGCAACGGTTATATTGAAAATGGGATATTTAAATATTTATGGTCATTTCCACCGTTTTTACATATTGATCATCTTTACTGTGAAGCCTATTTTCCACCATATCAAAAAAAATAATAATAATAATGCTTTGGAAAGTCATAATTATGATAAAAAATGAAATTATTATATATTAAGTGATAATAAATGTTAAAATTATGGCATTGTAAAATGTGGCTTTTTATGTCATAATTATGATTTACCAAAAGATGACTTTTCTTGTGTGGTGGAAATGGGCTTCCATATTCATTAATCCGAGTTAATCTTTAAAATCCCTACTTATTTTTATAACACTGTTATGTAATCTTTAGCAAATCTCTAAATTAATATCTATTTTCATACTGAACATTATAATGTTGTGATGCCTAAATTCACTTTTAATTCAGCATTTAAAAGATTGATTTTAGTGTTTTGTGAGACATTTTAAATTTATTCAGACAAAATAGTGTTCAGACAAAATTGGCCATTTATTGGGTATTGACTATAACATGAAAATAAGGTCCAAAAATAATTTTAAAAATGATCAATTATATATTAGAGACATTAAACATTTAAAACAGTTTTATCTGAAGCATGTGATTTCTGATTTGTTTTGAGTTATAAAATGAAATAGCCAGTGCTTATTACTTTTGGACAAACAGAAATTCTGATCCCAAAGTTCATAGAGATTGTTTATTCTTACATTATCTGGCACATAATAAAAATACAGAATGAACTGTGGTTGTTCTGTGCTGGTCAGATGGCCTGTTCCTGTCTAAGTTGGCAGTTCTTGGCCAGAATAAGCCAAGCTGTGAACCAGGTGTTACGCAGTTAGTCAACGGTCTGACTATGTGCTACTGTGTTCGATGCAGTTCAGACCTTTAACACATTATATTGTGTTTTCTATTCGCAATGGTTCATGAGACACTGATTTTCCATATTCACTTTTCTCTCACATGACAGACGGAGCCTCATCACGTCTTGGAGGACTCGACAGGAGAAGATGAAAATCTACCATGTCAAGTGAGTGTCATGCCTCCCCCCGCTCCTACACTCTTCTTACATCTCTCTCTCTCTTCTCAGTCTTCTCAAGCTCTTTCTTCTTTTTTATCCCTGTCCATCTAATTTTTTTCGTGCCACGTCCCCTCATGGGCTTTGATCTCCTTATATTATGGCTGTTCAGTGTTTTGTAACACTTGACATTTGTCAAGGAGCTTCTTTTCAAGGATGCAGCATAGAGAAGTGGCTCTTTTGAGATGGTGGTCTGAAATGCCCCTCCATGTGCATCTGTAAGGCGAGCTGGTGATAAATGGTAGCTATTGATCATGTGTTCCCCATAGACAGCAATTGTATCGATTGATCCTCTGATTACCGTGTGCATGGCGAAGCTGGAAATCCGGCTTGTTACATACTTGTTACAATTACCCTTACAGTCACACTGAGCCACACTGTACCATACTCATTGTATGGGGGCCCAGCATTCCTGTGCCCCTGCTGAAAAGATACCAGCCTAGACAACAAAGTGCTCATTGTTTTTGTTTGTGGGAGCATTTCTGTTTAAGCCGTAATGGTTGCTCTTGTTCAGGAAGGATTGTTCCTACACTCAGATGCCATTAATGAGTTTCCGTAATGCGCATGTAACAAGTCCATTATGACATCATGCAGTCTGACCTCATACAGGAAACGGCAAAGACTTTTTAGGTCTCCTCTCCCACTAAAACACTCCCCCGTCTTCCTCCCTAGCTGGTGCTGAGAAGCATTGATTTTTTAAATGCAGGGCAGATGGACCTATGGATCTTGTTTGCAAGGAAAGCTGGGCCATCAAAAACATTCTATAGAATATATGCTTTTCTCTCTGAATGTCCCCGCACATAAGAGCACACTCAAATTTATAAAGCGTCTGAAAGCCGCAAATGTTACATGATTGATGTGGGTTAGATGTGTACTGTTTCTTTTCTCGCTCCTTTTGTATCCACACTTGTGTTGGCCTTGTATTGGAGAATCTCATGAAAACACTTCAGTCATATTCTACATAATCAAAATAAAAAATAAGAAAATGAGACATTTTATAACAATTAAGCATATTTTTTCTCTAAATTCATGTTGCCATAATTTGTCTAGAATTTGTTTTTGTTTTTTTATTTTTATCACTTTCAGTGGTGACTGTCATAAAACTATCATTACTGTAATACATTATATATTCAGGCTTTCTGCACAGGGTTTCCGCGGGGTCTTAAAAAGTCTTACATTTAGTTGTATCAAATTTAAGGCCTTAAAAAGTCTTAAATTGTACAAGAAAGTCTTAATTATGATTTCAAGAGGTCTTAAATTTGGGGACGGAAAGACCAGAATTGCGATATGGCTGAATGTGACGATTAAACTTCAAAAGGCTAACATTATGATTTCATTGAATAAACACGAGCGCTGCAGATTCAAAGTCTGGTGCTGCGCTGCTTTGTGTTCTGCCGTTACCGGGGAAACAGTTATATTTCTACCAAACGCTCCACCTGCTGGCAGAGAATGAATGAGCATTTTCAATAAAACCGTTGTTATGTTCAGAGTTCAGACCAATGCGAAAATCGACCCATGTTTTTTACCCTGCAAACACGCAGAGCTTTAAATGTGAACTGGTGGATCGATAAGAAGACAATGTATTATAAAAATCTAAACATAGGGGTGTGCGATATGTATGGTCTGCGATAATATCGTAATTGTTGTTTTAACAGTGTGCGATTTGATATTATGAGTATATCGCGAAAAGCAAACACAAAACACACCTACAGAGTGCACACATACATTAGGTGATGAAGTCTAGCAGGTTAGACTAGTGCCCGTGTGCATTTAGAGTGTGTTCTTTCACTGCATGAATCTGTCTATTAAAATGCATTAAGAATTATAACATAATTTAAGATATGGGGCAGAAAATGTATATCTTTATATAATTTCGTATAGTTAATATCAGATGAAGAGTGCCGTTTTTTTCTCCAAAAGTAAGCATGATTACAAATGTGATATTGATTTTATACAACAGTTCAATAACAAGTAGTTCATATTAAGAGACTTACGTTTTAGACACCATATTTCCTGTTTTTGCTCAATTTCTCCAACAAAAATCATTTCAAAAACAGCCACAGCGCTGTTTTGCGTCTCTGAGCAACAGGACGCTGTTTTGTTCCTGAATGAATCACCCGTTTAAATGATTCGGTTCAACGCAATGACTCACTTAACAGTGACTATATCAATAAAATCCCAGAATATTATCGAGATATCATTTTTTGACAATATCGCACACCCCTAATTTGTTATTTAATTGATATAATAATTTATTGATAATAATTGTTTAAATTAATATAATAATTAATACTTTTGACTCATCCATTTTCTGAACAATGGTTTAAAGGCTGAAATGTAAAGTTTATCATTTTATAAAACTTTGTTTTTGTGAAAACTTGTATCTGAACTGTAAATTATGCTTTTTACGGGAATTTTACAGTTTAATATGGTACTACATTGCCCTACCCCGCTCATATGGTATTCATTTTATTTGTGCAGGTCTTAAAAAAGGTCTTGAAGTTTTAAATTTGAGCTTAAAAATCCTGCAGAAACCCTGTCTACAGATCTTAATAAAAATCTTAATCCGCCCTTACACAAATTAAGGACTTAAAAGGGTCTTAAATCAGAGCAGAAAGTCATAAAGTCATGGCATTAAATGTTGCATGGACTGCAAAAAAATTTATATCTTTCACAGTATTCTTGTCTTGTTTTCCAATGCGAATAATTAATAAATGTAATATTAATATAATTAATATAAATTTTAATTTAATTAATAAATTAATTAAATTAATTAGAACAAAATTAATTGCGTTTTAAGTGAGAACAAAACTCTCCAATGAGGTATCAAAATGTGCTCTATTTTATATATATTAATTATATATCGCAGTATATATCTTTCTAACTATTACAGTAATGAAAATTAGATTTATTTTTCATTATGTTAATGAGAATTTAGTGGGAGGAAATATTCCTAGTTGTCATGACATGAAATAATGCAAAAAAACCTTTATTCCTAATTATATAAATGCCTATATATATATAAGCAAAATGTTTTTTTATTTAAAATAATAATAAATAAATAAAAAATAAAACCATAATACATTATGGTGGGTGTATTTTGTTTGCTTGCTTTCTTGCGTGCTTGCTTATTTAGTTATTTATGCATGCATTCATTCGTTCATTCGTTCTTGAGCAAAATATAATTTCTTATGTTTTATTTAAAAATTAAATGCTCTACCACTATGCATTTGTCAAACAGAAGAGTACATATGACATGTCCATCAATGGTTCAGCTTTATAAATGCATGTGGGTGTGTATCTAGGGGTTTTGTGTCTGTTTAGTAGACTGGTTGTTTTTATGTGCCTATGTGTGTTCACCTGGACTTGTTCTGATCCCTGTGTTTAATGGGGCGTATGAGGGTAAACAATATTTCAGTAGCGTAATGAGAGTTAATGAGTAGGAGAGTGTGTGAATGCATTAGTCATGTGCTGCTCAGTTAAATGGTCTTAAAGCAGCTCCCTTTCTCAGAATAGCTAATAAAATGGGAAGAAAGGAGTGAAAGTGTGTGTTCATTATATTTAGTTTGCAATCAACCACTTAACTTTATCTGGAAGCCATTTGAGAGTTTATAAACGGGATTATATTTAAATTCATTCTCAAAACAGATGCAAAACAGCAGATCACTCCAGTTAGCAGCTCACTGGCTCCCTCTGGTGAAAACGTAAAGCTTATATTAAGGTGATTTGTTTAAATTTAGATGAAGAGCATTTAGAAGACACACTAACAGAGTGGTTAACAAACTTTTTGATCCAGCACGTACACTTATTACACTTATTATTTCCCTGGAGTGACCCGGGATTACATGCACAGTAATGATGACTCATGGGTCTATGTAGTTCAGACTTTTTGGTTGCAAGCTGAGATGTTTATCCACTGCACCACAGGTATATGCGAAAGAAACTCTACTAGAGAAGCGCTAGCTAAAAAAATGACCAACACATTTTTTACACTCAACACCACTCCATCACAAAAGAGGAGACAACTCACACTAGTGAGATTTTCCCATAATTCAAAACGATTTGAAACGCCCCCTTTCTTTGCAACTATCCCCTCATCAGGTAGCTATGACTGTCTGTCGTCCTGCCAAGCACTGTGATCAGACTCTGACACTGATGTACTGTATGTGTCCAGCATCATCCATGTCTATGTGCGGGGCGTGTGTGGTGTGTGTCGCTTGTTTGTGCTAATGTTTGTCTCCAGATCTGGCAGATGGTATTTAATCTTCTCTGGCCATCTGGACTGACTTTCTCTCGCTTTCGGACACCCACTCTTGCCTCTTTTTACCTCTCTCTCGCTCTCCATCTCTGTCTTCTTCTGCAGTCATTCGTGTGAGAGCGTGCCGAGACATCATGCTGTCTTTTATCTACTCTGACTCACTCTTCCAGCATGGCCCTGCACACCTGATTCACAGAACTTGCCTGACTGTGATTAAGTAACAAACACGGCTTAAAAATGACTCAGAGAGAGCATTTTAATTTGCTGTGGAATCAGTCATTAGCTAGCACCACTATTGCTCATAGTCAAGGTTAGGGATTGGAATAATGTATTAAATGGAAATGAATGATACATTAGATCATACAGATTGTTCCAAAGAAGTGTGCTATTTAGGCGCACTCAAATCTATTGTCAGTTTCGAACTAAACAGCTTTTTGATGGTCAATCCGACTAATGCGCATTGACAACTTGAACCCAGTGTGAGATCTGTATGAGTAAATGTTTTGCCCCTTTTCAAAATTCCAGTTCACATGGATTTCCATTTAAATGACTAGATTTTGTCTGCAAAATTTCACCTATACTGTAAATGTGACCGCATCTTTAATATTTAAAGTTATTTGACAAAAAATTCCTTTAGACCAGGATACCCTAGGGGTTTGTGAGGGAACTGCAGAGAGGTTTGTGAGTTGATGGA